CTGTAGATCGTGAGGGAGTAATGCCCTCTGTGAGGAAGGTGCACAGTGTGGTCAGCAAGCTCAGAGGTTGCTTTTGATTTGAGCTCTAGGGTGTGTGGTAGGCGTTGGCGAGGGGGAGGGGGGGGGGAGGGAGGGAGAGTAGCTAGGCGCACAGGCTGTGCCAATTTTACGGCTTGAAGTCGTTAAGGAGGGACAATAATGCTCAATGCTATTTCCCTGACCACACTCCTTGCACGTCACTTCGCCTTAAGTTCGACATCACGTGCGTCTGCATCTCTCTCGTCTCTATACTCTCTCACCCTTTTGTCGTCTGGTCTCTCGCCCAGCGTCCGGTGTTTCTTCACCGTATGTTCGTACTGTTCCAAAATGATTTGCAGTGGAGAGGTTCTTATTTAGAGCTTAGGGTTCACTTTTCAGCTGAGCCCCTAGCCTAAATGTTACTGATCTTGATTGTCCATTCATTAGTATCTATTATTTTTAAGTGATTTTGTATTTTTTCTCGCACGACTGCCTTGTATAGCGAACTTCAATAAATAAATAAATAAATGAGCGAAAAAATAATAAATAGGTGAATAGACAAATAAGTAACTAATGAAACGTCTACATCCCGTGATCCCGGTGTATGCCCCTTGACAATGGAACATTTCAGAACGTTCTGCGAAATCGTAGTTGACCTTGTCATCGACTTCGGGAGAAATGATAAGGGCTTGGATGACCACAGCCTAACCCTTGGCCTTGGCCATCCGTGCTGACATGATGAGCCGGAACTGGTTCGGTCGAGCTGCTGCGTTGATCATTTAGCAGGCGTTTTCTAGAGATGATTAGCTTGCACAACGCAGCGGCGCCGGCCAGCTTTTCTAGGGCGACCAATCTCGGCCAAGAGTCCGAAAATCGTCTCTCGTCGGCCACCCAATTGAACACATCTGCAGTACTTCATCATTAGATTTCTTTGTTTTTCTGCTTAGCCTTCGTATAGTTACGTTATTCATTCTCGCTGTGTAAAAAGATAGCTATAGTCTGTCAGCGTTCGCTGTATAGTGGAATCAATAGTAAAAAGTTGTAGATCGTGGAAAATTCTGGTCTGGGCCACCGAAAAATGGCCACCGGCTTGCGAGATGGGTCCCCAAAAGTTGGCATACCTGGACGTATCCTCCTATTCCTCTGACCATGGAAGACTGTGTCATTCGACCGGAGTAGAGGCGCAGAGTTCTAAGGACCCATCCCGGCCAGGTTCTACTGCACACGATCCCTGGTGGGGCCAGATTTTTTTGGAAAGAGCAACGCTGAATCAAACTTCGGCAATTCCCTCTAAGTAGTCACTATGGTAAGTCACGCATGCCATCTAATGTTTCAACAATTCAACGATTCGGGTTTCATCAGTTCCACTTCCTTTACTGGCTTGTACCTTTTTCCTCGCAGAGAAAATCCTGTTTTCAAGTTTCTGGTTTTCGTAAGAGGTTCTTTTTCTTTTCCTTTTTGGTTCCTAACTTCGCGTGATGATTTTGGCGTATGAGGTTTCAAGCAAGGGATGAATTGGTAGGTCAAATGAAAAGAGTGAAAAGTTCTAAATATCTTGATAAATGATACTGGTTTCCAATCCCGTCCTTATTTTTAATTTTTCTTATACAGATTCTTCTGAAAAAGCGCCTAGCACAATTCCTTTTGCACTCCTTTTGAAACACTTACGATTTAAGGCTAAAAAGAGCTACATACCTCTGCCCGGGTGTCGGGTGAAGCAGGGTGACAGATGCACGGCGTGCTCTACCTTTGAAATTCGTGATTGGTTGCGGTGAGCATGCCAATCACACCGTTTTTCGCGTTTTTGTCAGACTGGTCATCACTGGGCGCTCCTTATGACCACATTGGTGCAATTCGAGGAAATTACTCTCTACAGCCAATGCTCAATCATGCTTATAAGCCAATCGTACGGAGGAGGAGGGGCGGGAAGGGGGGAGGGCGTTAATAAGATAAATAAGTACAGCGCCCTTCACACGAAACAACAAACACAAATAACGACATCCCTGCGCTCGGTTTTTGTTAACTAGTTATTTTTGAATCGTGTACTGTAGGAGGCGGAGTTTTGCATCTACTAATACATGAAAATAAAAAGCTTTTTGCATATTCAATTTATTGTTGTGTCCAGAAATTCTTCACTGGCTTAGTTTGAAAAAAGGTTTGAGGAGATTAAAGAAGACGGCTTCCATATTTCTTGGATTTCAAAGGCAGAAAACTGTTTTTGTTCACTTTATGATCTTTCCGCCCCTCCATAACGCAGACACCAAAATGTGCACCGGGACCACTCTTCTGGTACCCAAAGTGGAAACCACTCAGCTTCATCTTTATTGCAGATAATTGAGATTTTACAAAATATAAATAAAAAGGATAAAGCTCGGTGTTGATCGATCTTGTTTTGAAATACACCACGCATGCCACTTCCATTCAGATTCATAGTAGCGGTTCGAATGCGATTCAGCCCATGCAGTGATTTGCGGGGGTAAGCCCTTGTATGAGTCAGTGTTTTTATTTTGTTTATTTTGTTATTTATTTTTTTACAAACCTGATACCAATCAACCGACCCCGGTGGGATGGAAGGCTTGGTTGGCCCGGGACGACTCACGACCCAGGATTTGATCCCCGGACCGCTCGCGTGGTAAGCGCGCCACTTGCCACTACACCACTTCCGCCCCAATACAGAAGATATTTATTTATTTATTTATTTAT